ATTAGCTACCACTTAACGTGTTTCTTTATTTATAGGCTTTGTTTCCATCCATGGTCCACAATCACAATTTCTATATCAAATGCACTATTTCTTTTCACACTTTGTCACCACCTTCCTTTATAGATCAAATATCATTCTAATTATTTATTATCGAAGTATTTAATCTCACTTATTTTATGGTTGCATCTAACGTCTCGTTAAACTGCCTACGTACCCTAAATAGGAATCAAGCTATTCGTAGTTCACATTCGAATGTATTCAATTAGTCCAACATATACCACAATCGTATTGATATTTAAACCACAGCAATTAGGTCTCAGAAGCATAATTATAATAATGAAATTCGCATCAAAACACAATGTCGGCTCCTTGGCCGTGCGCTGCCGCACCCGCCGCCGCCGGTGGCGGTCGACCGCCCCAGCTCGCCGGAAAACTCAATTATTTCTAAAAATTCTCAAAAATTACAGAAATGAAGATCTCAAAGAGTGGAGCAAACTTTATACCTACGGCCAAGTCTAATTTGGCCTAGAAAGACTTCAATTTGCCTCGAATCCGCCGGAAACCCTATAAATGGTTGTCCTCGATTCGTCATCTCCGATGTTCCGCCGCCCATACAATTGTTTGGACTTTGTTCCAGACCTCAAAGGTAGTCTCATGGTGGTGGTAATTGAACCAAATCATTTCAAATTTGGTGGCTTCGAGCAAGGAGGGTCGCGGCACCCACGGGTGTGTTCTTCCCAAATGCAAGGCCAAATTTCATGGTTTTTTGGGGTGTAATAAGGAGAGGGAAGGTCGTGGAGGGGTTTCCAAGTAGTTGTTTGAAGCAATTCACCGGGAAAATGGGTGAAAACTTGTCGGAAACATGCATGGGCGCCGACCGGGTCGGGTCACCAAGGCCCGGGTCCCGATCCCCTGTGTCTCTTTTCTCTCATTTCTTCCCCCCCCCCCCACCGCGTTCTCTCTCCCCATTCGTCACCCTCCCTTCTATTCTTTTCTTTTAATCACAACCATCCAATATTTATTTTCTCTTCAATCACAGCCACACATGTGGCACAACTCATGGCTCCAGATTTCTGGAGCCTTCTAAAGGGAAATAAAATTACCAAAATAGCCCTGATTTTAAACGTTGATAACTCTTTCGTTATAACTCCGTTTCACTAACGGTTTGCGCTTACGCATTCGTGATATCAGGCTCTATTCAAAAATATAAATTGTGACCTCAAAAGGTCTACGGATATTAAATAGTTAATTTCCAAACTTTAAACCTTGTAAGCAGTTTAATTTAAAACTGAACTCAAATAAATTAATATAAATTCCCGAAAAATAATATAAACTCTCAATACCACGAATACGTATATTATAATAATTCCCAGAACAAAATTTTACGATTTTCCCAATTTTATCTTTGGGATCGTACATCAATTAAATTTCGATTTTCTTCACATATTCACAATTATGAATATAAAATTCATATATTTAAAATTTCAGGGTGTTACAATAGATGCGGTACTACTTATCAGGGGGAGCATCCAAAAACAGATCAAGATTTTAACGAGTCAATCAAAGATTTGTGATCATCCAAGGAGGAGTGTTGTAAACATTGGTAGCTGACCACTAAATGATGTAATGGATGACTATATCAACCACTTTAGAACACTGTAGCTTAGTTGGCAGCAAGGCAGCAAGCACTATCATCTGTGCCTATAAAAAGGAATGTTGAGGATGAGAGCACACATATAGAAGCCACAAGGCTCACCGAAGAGGAAGAGAAAAAAGAGAGGAAAAGGAGAAGAGATACTAGAAAGAGTTATTTTGTACTCTTATTATTCTAAATTATAATGAAAGCATCACTGCTGCTCCGATGATGTACTCCAGTCACACTGATTGTAAAGGAACCTCGTAAATTTTGTGTCTTGTTTATTTATTCCACTGCACACACCGTCGATTTTACAAAAGCTAGTAGTTTTAGCAACTCAAAAAGAAATTCTTTGTTGTTGCTTTCAGCAACTCAAAAAAATTCATTGCTGGTTTCAGCAACTCAAAAAGAAATTCTTTGTTGTTGCTTTCAACAACTCAAAAAAATCATTGCTGGTTTCAGCAACTCAAAAAGAAATTTCTTGTTGGTGCTTCAGCAACTTAATAAAAAATAAAAAAAAACAGAAAAAAAATTTCTTGCCAGTGGTTTCAGCAACTCAAAAAAAAATTCTTTGTTGGTGTTTTCAGGAACTTAAAAAGCAACTCAAAAAAAAAATCTCTTGTGGGTGCTTTTAGCAACTTAAAAACAAAGAAAAAAGAAATTCCTCGCTAGTAGTTTAGCAACTCAAAAAGAAATTCTTTGTTGTTCAGCAACTCAAAAAAGATAAAAATTCCTCCTCCCTGGCGGTTTCAGCAACTCAAAAGGAAATTCCTTCTTGTGCTTCAGCAACTCAAAAAACAGTTTCCTTGCTAGTGGTTTCAGCAACTCAACTGGGTTGCCCACGACGGTGCTCCGAGGGGGATGGGCGCTCCATGAAGGGAGGAAAATGCACTTGAGTTTGCAGATCAAGCAGAAAAGCAGCGAAAGAGGAACTTCAGGCGGCGATTTTACTTGGACTCTGCTGGTAAGTGAACAATCAGCGTTTTCAGAATTTGGTTGATTTGATATGCAGTTAGTTTTTTGTTCTTATTCAGCATTGAACTATTTAATTTCTTCTGAGCATTGAATGATTTAAATTTGCATTAAAAATTAGATAAAAATCAAAATAAAATGGAGCAACACAGTTATCACGTGCTCTGTGTACATGAATTGGTGCATCCCATCTTGTTTCGTTGTTCTTGATGCATTAGACAAGCGAAATTAGAGAAGCTAAAGCGGGTTTTATAAATTGGGAGGAGATAAATCATAAATTGGGGTTCCCCACTTCAATATGTAAGAAAATGTGTAAATTTACACAATGTATGGGCTCTTTTGACCATCACCACCGCAATTTAGAGCATGAACGGTCACAAAGAGTGTTGAAAGTGGTGGTTGTGCCCCACTTGACACCCCAGCACCGGAGATGCTCCTGCATCGTTTCATAATGTTATTTATATCATTTGGTTTTGTATTTAGCACCAAGGGGAGCTGATGATTTTGGTTTATTGGCAGAAAAGTGATGATCTAGGGGAAAAGCATTGGTTGTATCTGTTCAGTTCCACATCTCATTCTGCAGCTCCTGCACCTTTTCAGACAATGCAAATGTCAACCGCAATGGATTTGAAGGTATCCATACCCAAGTTGCTCAATCTTTTGAGAAGAGCCAAGGATATGGCCAAAGATCCTGAAGCAGGTGGGCACTTGAATATATTGAAAATAAGCTCATCCTCATGGAATGTATTGACTTGCTACCCAAAGTGAAGATCTTTAATCAAACTCTGTCGGAGCAATTTACTGCCCTAGAACGCCGCCTTAGTAGCATTATCTTTCAAGCTGAAACCATTTACAGCAGTAAAATCCAGGCCGTGAAGAATTTGCCCGCCCCTGCCCCACAACTCATTCCACTGTCACATGTGCATTGGTCTGCTGTCGATCAGTCAGGACTAGATCAGAAGATGTCAAAAGAGTGGTCACAACTACGCCTGGAGGATAGAATTTCTGAGACTCCTGCCATGGCTAATATAAGGAGGGCATATGAAGATCTTGAGAGCATGGAATTAAAGTTGTGCTTCCTCTCTTTTTCAATCTTCCCGGATGGTTCTATGATGAAGAAAGGGCCTTTGATTTACTGGTGGATCGGCAAGGGCTTCATCACGTCCACCCAAAAGAAGACAGCGGAAGAGGTAGGAGAAGATATATTTGAAAATCTTATGAGAAAGGGCTTGATTAGTCAAACTGGCTCAAATGAATCATCCTGTCCGTTTGTAAAAAGTTGTGTAATGAACCCTTGGATCCGCCGTATGTTGATCATCTTGGCCAGCGAAGCTAGGCTGTTTCACTTTGATGCAACATAAGCAAGGATGCCATCTTATGACACTTCAACCTGCAGGCGTGCATGCTTGGTTTTCAATAATCAAATTCGTCAGGGTGACGATGGCCCGAAGGTGGATGATCTGTTGACTGTGTTCAATGTGAACGACCAGTATCTTGGTTTGAAAAAAGAATGGCTTAGTAAGTTGGAGAAGGTTGCGGTTCTTCAGCTTGGGCGGTGGCAGGACTTGGCTACGCGTCATATTGAGGTTGAGTTTGCGAACCGAGAAGATGTGGGATTTCTAAAAGGTTTGGGGGCTCAGAATAAGCACTTGAAGGTGTTACTTACTTGAGAAGATGCCAAAAGGGCTTGACAAGCTCTCGTCCCTGCAAGCACTCAAAGGTTGTCAGTTCTTCTCTCAAAAATACTCCCAGCAGACTTGGCCTTGCCAAGTTGAAGAATTTAAAGCGGCTCAGAATAAACATGGGGAATGAGGCTCTAGTTCAGAAGGGGGAACTCAACAAGTTGGAGGACATTTCATCTCTTCGGCACCTGAAAATATCTTGGGGAGGGGACTCTCTCGCGATAGAAGAACAAACCGCCCATGAATTAGCATTTCTACCGAATTTAGAAAAATTGGACGTCCAAGGTATCCCCGTAGAGCACGTACCGAAATGGCTGAACCCGGGACAACTGGGAAATTTAAAGAAGCTGTACATAAGGGGTGGAGAACTTTCCAGCTTAGATCATGGTGAGACAGGAGACTGATCCTGCGTGGAAGGTAGAAATCTTGCGTCTCAAGTAATTGAGAGATTGGCCAAGTTAGAAGGGATCTCTTCCTCTTCTGCAGCACTCGGATTTGGAGGACATCCACTGTCACGAGGTTAAAAGGAAGCGAGTAATTTAAGGACACGATCCTGCTTGTCAAATCTATTTCCTTCTCTCGAGTCCTTGAATGTTGTTCTACTGTCTCTGCAACTTCGCTGTCTACAAAGTTAGATTAAAAATGTATATTTTGTTCTGTTATTTGTCATGGACATGGTTACGAAAGCTCGAAATCAATTTTCGGGTTAATAATGTGGAAATAAGCATTTACTATCATGTAAAATCATCCATCGATTCTCTCTGTCGTGACTCGTTCACTGTTTCCGGCTACAACACATGAACATGTACAACAAAATGTTCAATCATCCCTTTTGGTCAATCTTTAATAGGGGAATAAAAGTACCGAGCTTTGTCTCAGAAATCACAGTAAACAGCCTTTAAAACCCTTTTCCAACTCCTGCGCATCCAAGTTCTTCCCTATGAAAACAATCTTGTTCGTTCTTGGCTCGTTGGGGCCCCACAGCCGATCAGGCGAGCCTTGGAATATATCGTGAACTCCCTGTTACCCAACCGAAAACACATTATTACAATAATATTCGCAACAAAGATAAACACTGACTAAATTTGTTCAGAACTGCACGTCGAACTTCTTTATCAGAAAGCAAAGACACGATTCAAAATATCCATCACGTAAAAAAGATGTCAATGTACATTGGCAGCAAGTTTCTCACCTGGAAGACAAATCTCTCTTTCATTCCTTGAACAGATAGAAGACCTTTCATACGATATATGTCCTCGCTTCGTTCCAACAACAGCGTACCAAGCCATATGTTAGCCTGAAAAAATTAAAACAAAATCAGTAGTCTTTGTCAGGTTTTCTTTCATACCTGCCAGACAAAGCCTCCAGATGCAACTGGCCCTCAAATGTGCACTTGTGTCATTTAAAAGGTAACAGGTCCACATAGAAGACGCATAAATAAATATTCAAATATATCGTGAAATAAGATGAAACAGAGATCCTACCTTTTCAAGATCTAAGTTCCCTTCACAAACTATGCTGACAGAAGAAACACCAGGATCATGAACATGATCATGGGCGTGGTGATCATCATGATGATCTGCATATCAGTATCAAATGTGTGAATATCAGTTCATAAATCTATAATAAAAATAGTAGCAATGTCAAATTACATTATTGTGGAAGATCGAAACTCTTAAAGCAAATCAAAATATTATCCAATCAATAACCAAACTAATGCAAAATTATGAGTAACCATGACAAAAAGCAAATAAAAAAAACCTAATTATCCCCAACTTTGAATATGTAGTTATCTATTATCCATTCCAAGAAATGCGAAATGCATAAGAGAAAACGTAAGATAACTGGAGTAGGAGGGGAAAGACTGAGCTGCTAAGCGCAGGTCGTACAACAAAATCTTATCCTTTACACTTCGGTAATTAGTACCTTTCTTACAGAAATAAATTCAACAACAAATGGTAAATGAATTAACAGGGAGAAAGAGAAAACTTAGGATAACTAGAAGGGGCAAAGTAGTCCGAAAAGTTGAGCTATTTGGAGAGGAACTCAGCTATGTTTAATTCCCTTACAGCTTTCTTAGTGCCACTTTCACAAGGACTGAAACCGCAGCACCCACATATTTAAGAGACTAGTGCAATTTGAAGGCCCTTAGTCCATTAAGCTCTTTGCAGTTAAAATTTCCACCCAAGGCAGCAAAAGAAGAGCACTTAATAATTACTTCTTCAGATCTCCAAGTTAGTCATGCTTCATATCTTGCCCCAAGAAGCATACTACCACAACATTAATTCCCTCCCATGAGCCATTGGCCCCCGGGTTCCAAATAGGACTTACATTATACGCTGAAAACCCCATTGAAATAAATGCAATTGAAAAGAAAGGAAAGAAAGAACAAGATGAAACCAAGGGATGCTGCCTCAAAGATTTGACTAAGCTGAACCCAAAGAAAATGAGATTGACAAGATATTGTTTTATGGTAGAGTCCTTTGAAGTGTAGAAGATATCGCTATGATCTAGCAAGGAAACAAAAAGTTCATTGTCGACATGACCGTGTAAAGTTAAAAAAAATTCCCCATTACAGGAAGCTGACTAAATTCTGAGCTTTGCCTAAGTTCTATGGCACCCACTGTTAAGCATCCACGTATCATACCCCATAGATGTATAATTGGACCCACTGAATGTCCACCCATTTGCACCCATGTGTTATAAAAGTACTTGTTAGTTCCAATAAGATCTATATGTCTGCAGTAAGCATACACAGAGATGTAATGTAAGGGTTTCGGCAAATCAGAGGACTCAGTTTTGAAGTGATGCCATAACTTAAACCTGCAGCTGAGCTTCAAAGCTAAACATAAGCTTACTACCCCGCCAATAATTCTCAAGAATACGTAATAATGATTTGTTTTCAAATTCCAAGAACACCGCCTATTGGGAACCAAGATTCCAGAAATGCACTTATGCATGTGCAACAAACGGACTTTGAGAACTAATTAGATTTACTTCCCCAACAGATGAACAAGAGTCCCCACAAAGCCATCATCAGCAAGTTCAATGTGTAGGAAAAACAACTTATATTTTGCAGCAATAACAACTTGTGATTAGTAATAGAACAATTATTCAACAAGGTACCATCAAGATGAGTATGTGCCCTGATGATAAAAAAGATGTACCATGCTTGTGATCGTGTTTCTCATCATGATGGTGATGATGATCATGGTCATGATCATGGTGATGGTCATGATCTTCCTTTTCACCTTCAGCATCAATAGCACTCTCTATCCTGGCAAGATTAGGATATAATATCAAACTCCATACACAAGATCTGGTGTGAAATTATGAAGCATGGAAGCATGTTATGGAGCATTATATATCAATTTGAAACAGCGTAATGTCACAGAAGAACAAAGAAAATTAACACATGGGAAAGTAAAGGCCGTATGATTTTTAAGACAAAATATCAGTGGCAATGGTGGACAACACAACTTCAAAAGTAGTATACAAAGGGAGATTAGAAGAAGTGCAAACCAAAAAAATGAAAAGGAAAGGAAATAAATATTCCATCAACGATCCTATACTCGTATCCAAGACTCATACAGTGAAATTTTAGTCAACACATGAGTAGTCTGATTACATTTACTACTTTTACAAACAGATTCATGAGTCCCCCTCAATGTTCCTACTTGCTGAATGAATATTTACACAAGCGCAAATATACAAATATTCAATTGATACAGTTAGTTTGATGACCAAAGATAAAGGCATAATTTGCAGGAACTTCTATTAAACCTTATAATCTGCCTTTCTTTTCACATGCAAATTGTACAGAACAATTAGAACCATTATGCATCATCATGGAGAACCTAATTTACAGAAATGGAAGTAAAGTCCGCTAAGCAGAAAAATCATAGGACATAATTGTCTAAACCAACAACGATGAAATGGGTGTGAAAGATTACCTCTCCAAATCAAATCCTCCAATACCAAGAACATAATCCAGGTTAACTTTCCCAAACTCTGTCCGCTTCAATTGAGCCATGCCATTGATGTTCTATAGCCAAGACAAAACATTTCGTTCAATGGACTGATCATAAGCAAGCATGATGAAATGGGGGAAAATTAAAAATAATTAAAAAAAATAAAAAAAAAGATACAGACCTTAATTCGTTGCACCAAAGAAGCAATTTCTGGCTCACCAACAAGATCGGTCTAGGCAAAAATGGACAAGTAAGTACTCGGGCATTATAACAAAAACTGTAACAATCATAAATAAATTCTGTATATAATATCCTAGAATAATCTTCAAGTGAACATAAGTTTTTTCCAATTTTTTATTATCAAAAAGTTTTTTCCAAAAAAAGGGAGGAAGCCACAACATAAAAAACACATATAAAACCTTCTTGTTGAAATATTAGAGCCACATATTTTCAGTTTTCAAGAATCACAAAGATTCAATTTGAGTGCATTGCAGTATAAATTAGATTCACAAATAAATCATAGTAAATCAGTGTACCTTATTGACAATGATACGGTCAGCATAAGCAATCTGCTCTACAGCCTCATTGACAACTCCTTTTGGCTTAACTTCATCCAAATGAAAAACAGCATGCTTAGCATCAACTAACGTTACAACACCGTCCAACTTGACATCATTAAAAACCTGATCTTCAGCATAAAAGGTTTGAATGATCGGTGCCGGATTTGCCAATCCTACAAATAAGCAGGAAACAAAATCACACGGTGGTCAATGCCAAAGGGCCAATCAAATTCAGACAATTAGGATTTCATGCACCCTACAACTTGCAAACAACACATTACTCAAAGCTTAGTGCACTAAAACAAAACAAAAAATTCCATACCAGTAGTCTCTATAACAATATGATCAAACCTCCCTTCTTCTTATTCACCAAGTCCGCAATCATCCGCACAAGATCACCCCTCACAGTGCAGCAAAGGCAACCATTATTCAACATAACAATGTCTTCGGCCCCAGTGGTTTTCGCAGCAACCAAAGAACCATCAATATCTATCTCACCATACTGAAAAATCAACACAATCACATACCTTCTTATACACAACAACAAAAAAAGGTAACAATAAAAACAATAACCCGCAAAATCCCATCCCCATACCTCGTTCTCAATCACCGCGATTCGCTTCCCGTGTTCCGCGGTCAATATATGGTTAAGTAATGTAGTCTGCATATTCCATTTGACAAGTACATTTCAGTAAATAATGAAGATTATTGCGGCATTCAAACGATGAAACTCTGATACAAACCCGCCATAAGTTATCAAAGAACATCGAACCTTTCCGGAGCCCAAGAAACCGGTGATTATGGTGGCGGGGATGCGATTATCCGGCTCAATCTGGGTCAAAACGTCGGAGCTCTCGCTCTGCGACGTCGTTGCGCTGCTCGCAGCCGCAGTGAACCTTCTGTAGCCTCGGTTGGGCTTGGCGACAAGAGCTCGGCAAAACGACGACGCCGAGTAGTGTAGGGTTTGGGAGCGTGCGAAAGTCCTCGGTCTCCACGTGAAGGGAAAGCGGGCTACGGCACCGACCCTGGGGAGTCGGATGGAGCGGCGAGAAGTTAGCCCGATAAGGGTCGTGGCGATGTCCACCGATATGGAAGCCATGGAAGCGAAACGACGTCGCTCTGGTAGAGGGGTTCAGACAGAGAAAGAAAGAGGTGTGGGTTTATGTGAGGTTTGAAGAGTGCAGAGGCGGATAGGCTGATACGGCGGCAAAACGGTCGTTCTGGATTGTTCTGTGCTCGCAATTTATCTACCAATCAGAGCCACCCACGCGCTTGATTTTTATTTTTCATTTTTCTTTGGGCGGTTTTTTTTTTGTAACTTTTACGTACCACTAGAGCTGGAAATTTTTTCTCAAAATTCCAAATCAAACCAGAAAAAAAATCTGATCTCCTACCAAAAAATTCTCAAACCGATAATATTGAAATTTTGGAAATTCATACAAAACCGATCTTGAACTTTTCGGTACAAAAAGCGAAATTACATGTTCAATGATTTGAGAATCCCAAACCGAACCAAAAAATATATATATATTTATTTTGGGTGCATGCACTTTGAATGTTGAATTTAAATAGTTTAATATTAGACTATATTATAAATAAAAATATGAAATTAAGTAGTTTGGAATTTTGGAACATTAATTTGACTTGGTATGAACGAATTAGTATTTCAAATGGTATGAGGTAAAAAACCTAAATTTCAATTGATATGAAATTTGAGGACAAAATTTTAGACAAAAAGTCCAATTTTAGTCCATAGCCCAAAAATTTCAAATTTCAAATTTCAACCCCAAAACCGAAAATCCAATCCCGATCCGTCTCAAAATACCGAAAATATTTCAGGAATCCTGAAAATTGGAAATTCCAAAATTTTGATTTGGGATTGGTTTTCAAATTCCCTTCTCAAAAATTTTCGATTTGGGATCCCATACGAAACCACCCTTATGTACCACCCACTAATTTATAAACAAGTTTCATCTTTTCGTACATCTTTTGGAAGAAGACTTCATTAACCTAAAGTTTTTTAGCTGAATTAGTCTTTGAGATTGACATAACTCTTTATGTTGATTTCTAAGATTTGAAATCAATAGAGTTGGCCCATGAGTTTATCAACTATCAATTATTTTGGTTATTCCGTGAAAAAATTCTATTAAATAACGATAAAATAACAAAAATACCCTCAAGTTTTGTCAAATATTATGGCCATTGGTTGTTAAATTGAGGATTTTTTTTTGTCATTTTGGTCTTTGTCTAACAATTTTTTTTATGGAAGGACCAATAGTCGATGGTAAACAAACTCAATGATCATTTTGGCTAAAAAGTCTTACTTTAAATTGTAATTGAGGAATGCAACTTAGCACAACAATCTATTGTTATTCTTTTTCATTCGTAAGCGCAAAGTATTAAGTCCAATTCCCATCTAAAACCGATTCTCATCAAAAATGTGTCCAAACTAAATTGTTAACTGATCTATCGTGTGGCTTATCTCAAATTCATCCATTTATATTGTTTTATTATAAAACTACAATTGATGGGCATCCGCCTTCACGTTCTTTATAAAAATGTTATTGTATTTCAGATTTATATATTTAGAACACCACATAACCTGCAAAGAAAATAAAGTATCGAAAGATACTAGTGCGGTAATGACTGAAGGTACTGTTTGGTACGCAAACAGGACAGGACGGAACAGTGGTTCCATGTTATGTTTGGTATGCGCAAGACATAATGGGAGAGTTGTTATGTTCTGCGTTTGGTACGCACAGGACAGAACGGAACCAAAAGATTAAAACGACTAACTTACCCATGTTCCGTCTATTGTTTGGTACAATGTTTAGGCTTGGACGGGACGGAACAATTTTTTTTTTTGTTCCTTCTAGCTGCTGCTTATCTATGATATATTTTGTACACCATACTTGGATGTGTTCATATTCCGTACTGTATATAACAGAAAACAAGAGACATGTGTTTGTACTTTATATTGCTCATATATTAATTTAGTGAGATAATACATCAATTAATTTGATGTGATCTAAAAAAATAATAGGGTAAGAGCATGTTATTGGCTTGGCACTTGGCACATGGCTGTGTAGCCATAATATGTATATGGTTATGTATGTGTGATGAATTACATATGAAGAGGTTGGTGTGGTAGAACAACCGTTAATGCAATGGCTATGTTGGAATCTTTGAGACAATCTGATTTCATCTCTTCGTCATCACATTGAAATGCAAATTGTGTCAAACAATATGTATATTATAAGTTGAGTTGTGAGACAATTGGATGTCTATGGCAATGGTTGTCATGCAAGGGTGAAAAATATAAAAATTTAATGATATTATCTTGCTAAAGCAATAAACATGAAATATCCAGAACTTAAACATGAAATCCCAAATTAAACATTTGTCCTGACTTAAGGAAAAAAAGAAAGAAAGATAATGTCTTACTAAACCCCAAAAGTTGATATTGATATAGTTCATATCATACTAAACCCCCTAATGCTTAGATGCCATCCATAAACATTTTAATGAAATCTGCCTTGTGAGAGTCATCTAGGGTACACCAAATACCCATCATATCAGTATCTTTCACTAACTTCATTGAAATTTTCAGCACTTGATCATATGGGAGACCCATGGCCTGAAGCTGAGAAGGTAACTTGGCTTTCGCTTCTCTGAAAGTAAAACTTTCACCTAAATTCTTCATTTTAGTAACTGCTTTATCCCAACCTTCACAGATAACAGCTACAATATTTGCAGTATTGGGCAGATCGAAGCACTACAAAATGCAAAGAAATTCAGCAGAATTAGAAACTAGGTGTTAATGAAATCGAAACAAGCAAATCAGAAAAGAATAATAGTGCCGCTTCAAATTTACATCAAAATTAATTAAAGATAAAGATTGGAGGATTTGTAAGAGTATGGGGTTTTGTTTCAACAGTACTACAAAATACCAAACCAAGAGAGATTTACAAGCAACAGCAAACACCAAACCCATTCTAGGGATTGGAGGATTTACAAGTAGCATCAAAATTAATTAAAGATAAAGATTGGAGGATTTACAAGCAGCAACAAACACCAAACCAAGAGAGAAAGTACTACAAAATACAAAGAAAGAGAGATCGAGAGGCTACACAATCACAATCAAATCGAACCTGGAATGGAGATGCAGAGCTGAAAGTTCACGGAGAGGCTACACAAAAGAGGATGAGGAGGAAGGCTGCGAAGCGGAGATGCAGGGATGAACAAGTTCACAGCGGCAGAGAGAAGAGAAATGATAGCTTTAGGGTTTGTTGGATGATATAGAGGGTGTAAATATTGAAAAAGCTAAGGCGTATTTTTGTCTTAAACTTTATGATTTTTGTGTTCCATGAGATGGAAAAACCCGTTCTAGGGGGGAGGCGGAACCAAAATTTAACCTATTTTCGTTCCGTGGGACAGTGCGTTCCACATAATTTTAGCACACTAAACATGGGACAGAACGCGTTCGTCCCACTTTATTCCGTCTCATTCCACGTACCAAACGCACCCTTTGATACGTGGGATGGGACGGAACGCAGTGAGACGAGACGCACTTGTCCCATGTTTGGTGCGCCAATTTGCCTGGGATGCGCTATCTTGTGGAACAGATTTTAGTCAATTTTTTGTGCCACCCTCCCTTCTGGAACGACTTGTTTCAATCCGTAAAACACAAAATTATAACTTTTTGGACAACAATACCCCTTATCTTTTTCATTAATTTCACTATATACCTTTCTCCTGTAGCCTCCCTTTCTCATGTAGCCTACTACTCCTCCTCAACCACAAACCCAACACACTAGGCTAACTCAATCGTAGTAAACCCATCTGAATCCAACCCCACCTTCCTCTCGTCGCCTCCTTCCTCCCTGCTAGTCCCACGACAAGTCCGTCAGCCTCCGCTACAAAAACCTCAAGACCACCCACTTGCGAGACGTGGCCGATGCCGTTGCTCGAGGGATGGGACGACAAGGATTAGTAGGAAAATGTGAGGGATGACGTTGAACTCATCAGCGGTGGCTCAGGTAAGGTCGAACTCGTCGGAGTAGATACGTATGATTGTCATTTAATCCTTCGTTTCATTCCGGCCTGTGCGTACACCAAACGTAGCATGGAACCTCCGTTTCATTCCATTATGTCCCATTCCGTCCCGTTTGCATACCAAATAGTACCTAATGTCACCGATGCTTAAGAAATCAAAGCATGCTTAGGGCACCGCGTGGGAAGCTTAGTGGTAATATAATATAATGTTGAACATTAATTACCGGTAAGCTTTAAAAAGGAGTAGAATTTTGATTTAATTCCTTCGAAATCTCATGGGGTGAGATGAGATTTGTGAATGCTTAAAATACACTACGAAATCTCTCTAATTCCCTCTAATTCCTAACTTTTTCAATTTCTTTAAAATCAATTTCTAATTGAATACTGATTGAATACATATTAAATTTCAGATAATCACTTAAAATCGTAATTGAATGCTCATAAATTCATTAAAAGAATTAAAAATTTTCAAAATTCCATTTGAATACACCCTTAGACCATCTCCAACAATGACTTATAACCTAAAATTTCCCTTTTTTTTTCCTCTCAAAACCCACTCCAACCCATGTGCTAAACAAAACCTAAAACCTAAAACTTAAAAGAAGGCCAAATACCAACCCGTTTTTAGGCCAAAAGTCATTATGGACCCTACCTGTTGTGAGTGAAACACGGGTTGTGAAGCCCAGTTCCCTTTCCGCGACTCGCCCACGCGCCGCACGCGCGAGGCATTTCAGCCCAGCCGACAGCCCCACGTGGGGTGTTCCCTCAGCAATCATTCCAAAAAGCAGCCCAACGGCTACTTTTTATATCCAACAATCACGTTTAACTGGGCCGTTGGTTAATCCAACGGTCCAGGTTCAAAATTTTTTTTTTGTAGTTTTATATTTATGTATTTATTGAATCCAACGGCTTAGATCAAATATAATTAAATATAACGGTAAAAAAAAAGATCTAACGGTCCAAATTTAAATCCAACGGCTAGAATAATTTTAAAAAATTATTTAACTTAAAATTCAACCAAAAACTCTATAAATACCTATGTATTTGTTCAAATATCCACACAAAACTCACTTTTCTCCTACAATTCTTCTAATTTTTCTTTATACCATTTATTCTCATTTCCAGAATTTTCAAGATGGCAAAAGAGCATGTCAGAGGTCGTAATTGGACCTTTGACGAAGATATTGCTTTATGTTTGGCATGGATTTCGATTAGCGAAGATGGTGCCGTTGGCACCAATCAAAATAGAAAGGTTTTATGGGGTAAAATCATTGATAAGTTCCATGAAAACTCCAATGCCGGTCGAAGGGAAGTTGGTGGTGTTTATGATCGATGGAAGATTATCAACAAAGCGTGCACTTTGTGGAAATGAAGCTTGGAGAGAGCCATGGTTGACATGCCTAGTGGAAGGGGCGCCTCAGAAATTGTGAGTTTATTTGTTGATATTTTAGTTGTCATGTACATAATAGTATTTTGCAACTAATTGTTTTTATGTATTTGTTGCATAGGGTGACAAAACAATGGCAATTTACAAGACAAGAACTACACCAAAAAATCAAGCTTTTAAGTTGCATCATGCTTGGAACATCCTCAAGGATTGTCCGAGGTGGGGAACCGATGCGAACCAACAATGTGGAAGATTATTTCATAATGAAGCCCCACCCCCAAATGATGTCAATGAAGATGTGAATTTTGCTGACAATGAAGGTGTCGAACAAATGACCCCAACTTCTTCTTTTGCAAGGCCCCCGGGTAGAGATAAGCAAAAGGAAGCAAAGAGAAAAGGGAAGTGCCAAGATCCGACACGTGCACAATTTGCTAGCGAATTGGCAATAATGAACGAAAACCAGTGTCGTCGGCAAGAAGAATCGGCCCAAATGCTTTTGGCCATGAAGGAAGAAGGGGATAGGGAGCAAGAAAGGTACGAAACTAATTTGATAATGGAGGACCTCGACAAATACACTCCAGAGAGGAAGAGATACTTACGTGGTAAGCAAAAGGAAATTTTACGAAGGAATGCCACAAGAAGTATATTTCAAGATGATGATTCATCTCAAGACTATCACCCAAGTCCATCATCAAGTCAAGATGGTTAATATTATTATTAAGTTTATGTAGTCTATGAGTTTTCGATTGTATTAAGTTTATATGGTTCATTAGTTGTCTTTTTTATTTTTTAAGTTTATGTGGTTTATTAAATGTCGTTGATATTAAGTTTTTGTGGTTTATCTTGATTTTCATGTATTGATTTAGTGATTTTTTAAAATTTATTAGAATTTAAATATTTTTAGGTTAAAATGTTCATAAAATTAATTTAGGATAGTCTACATAATTTTTTTTTTTAAAGTTAATTTAAAAAAAATAGCCTTAATTCATTATTTGATAATCTGAGGCTAAAATTTTAGGTCAGAATGGTTAGAGTAGAAAAGCTGTTTCTAGGCTAAAACCTAAATTTTCTGGACTAAATATTTTTAAATTTTAGATTACCATTGGAGATGGTCTTAAAGCTTTATCGGATGAGTTTGGACCGTAGCGGAGAAGAATCGATTGCGTGCACATACTTGCAAGGCTTGGTCCCCAAGTGGGGCCGGATCTTGTCAAACGGATAATGCTCAACCTTGTGGCCCACTCCTTGCCCCTAATCGCGCGCTTCACCTACGACACACCTGCCTCTGGAGCCATACCCGCGAAATACACCCACACGTGTCGCCCATCCGTTGGTTCGGGTTTGGTTCGGTCATACGCCATCTCGCACTTTCCTCCAGTCTCCGTCACTCTGAGTCGCTCTCACTCTCTCTCTGTGTCTCTAGAAAGCACTGAAACAGAGACCTTTTGGAGTTGTTCATCTCTCCTTTTTCTGGAAAATCAAACTGCGAAATCATGATCGGGTCAAGCCTTCAAGGTACGATTGGAGAAACACTTTTCTCTGTTAAACTCCTGATTTTGTTTTGGTTATGGGCTGTTTGTTTCTCTGGAAAATTTTCATTTCCCTAGGAAAAAAGTGATTTTTTTCTCTGCTGTAAGCCTTTGCTCGCTTCATCAACCAAAATAAGAGTTTTTTTTTTTAAGGAAAATATTTATTTTTCACTCGTGGGTGGTTTTCTTTTTTCGTTAACATTTCCATTATTCCGTTATCGATGATGGGTTCTGTTTGTTTCCTCAGAAAATTCAGAATAATGAAGTATAAAAATGCAGAAAGTTCAAAATTGTAGTTCTTTTTGTAGTTGTTCTCTGTGTGCTGATGGAATGCGTGAAACTAGTCGAAAATAAGGGAAGACGAAAAGGAAATTCTTTAATGCCGATCAATATGTGACCCAAAGTTCTTTCCTTTATGACAGTTAGTTAAAAAACTCGAGCATGAATTACAAGTTTTAGTGCACCTTGGTTTACAAATGGACACACAAATTAATCGTCTTTTGCAAGTGTGCGTAAAACTTGTCATTCAAATGTTAATGCTCTGCTTTAATTATTGGTTTGTTAGTGACTAGTCTTTGTAAACTGGGTGTTAACTGTAAGTAGCCAGAAAATCTGGGCTCGGTAATTATGTTCCTAAGTGTTTGCGGAGCTGTTTATCGCTAAACTGATGTCTAAGATTAATAGCTACCCTGTTTACCTGCGTTATTACTTGAATATTACACATTCTTTGCCATGGTTGATTCTTTCGTTGTCTATTTTAGCGGCAATACTGTGTAGTTTCGGTTTTTCCTGTTGATCATTCCATGTTGATGTTTGCAAGAAAGTTTGGGGAGAATATGGCTTTTGTTTATAAACTGAGTACTAGAAAGTTTCACGTCTACTACCCCACATAGTTTGCAAAAGGAATCAGGACAATCCTTTTTCTTTCTCTTTGTATTTTTGGGTTGGGGGACACGGGGGGATGTTATGGACAATGTAAAGGCTTAGTTGGGATGAACTTTTGATATTTCCATATATGGACCTTTCTTTATGCATCAACACTGTTTTGTAGGTTTAGTTTTTTTCTGTTCTAGCACAAATAAGCACCATTTTGAGTTTGCTCACTTTTGTGCATGAAAGCTGTATTTCGTACTCTTATGCTGCTAGAATTTGGACCAACTGCCTCTTTATATGTTGTAATGTTCATTAAATAAATTGATGAGTTGTGCTTAAAGGCATTTTTTGCAAGGTCAATTGATTACCGTATTGAGTACTTGCCCTCTACTTTTACAGGTTTGTAATGAAAGTTTCCAGTTTGGCTGTTGAAGGGATAAATAACCTTCTGATTCAGTTTTTATAAGATATATTGGTTACAAGGTATTTTCTTGATGGGGGGAGCTTGTTCTAGGAAGAGAGACCACCAAGACGATGTTTATGATTTTCAGAGAGGGTTTTCTAGGAGATATGCTAAAAGTGGGAGTTCAAAGTGGTTGGCAACCTCCTTCACCCGCCCTGTTTTGGATATTCAACCAGGCACAAGGAACGGTCCTTCTCTCATGGACTTGTGTGTCCGAAAAATATGCAAGGTAATTGCTTTTCGGAGTATTTCTTGTACTTGGGACTGAGGTTCACTATATTTTGGCTTATTGCAATTGTTGCTTTGATTTACAGGACATCAATAAATTTAACACATTCTCCATGCTCCCAAGAGATATTAGTCAACAGATCATTAATGAGTTGGTCTACTCTGGATGCCTCACTGATGTTTCTTTTGAAGGTTTCCGTGATTGTGCTTTGCAGGTAACTCTTATTCGTAATGCTGGCAATCACATTTCTAATTCTTTATTAAAAAAAATTGTCAGTGCCATCCTGTTCATCTTTGTTGTCAGTGTCATGTTGACCTTGGAAGTTTCTTTCATTTTTTTTTTTAATTGGAAGGATCTTTACTTGGGGGAATGTCCTGATGTAAATGATAGTTGGATGGATGTCATCTCCTCACAAGGGTCATCTTTACTCTCTCTGGATCTCTCTGGTTCTGATGTTACTGACGATGGGTTAATTTATCTTCAAGATTGCAAAAGTCTCCAAGCATTAAATTTTAATGATTGTGACCACATATCAGACCATGGCCTGGAACACATCAGTGGTAGTCCATCTTAATCTTTGTTTTTGTTTCTTAGATAGCTTTCCTCTCTAGTATTAAATCAATTTGCAATATAGTCAGTTTATATGGTTCTTTCTGCTGTTCCCAAAGCCATTTTGGATAAAAGATGAAGCATATCTGCACAAAATTTTGTTACCCATTGTGGCCTGCCAAGATAGCTGTTGGAATAGCACATCCCTTTTATAATCAGCTAGAACTATTTAGTAAGCTCAGTGTTAAATAAGAAATTTTGAGAACCAAGAGAAAAATGAGGTATGATTGGGGAGGGATGGCGTGTCATCTGATACTTCTTTGTGATAAATAACCTGTGTAGCATACATAGTTGGAGTTTGTACCATGTCTGCAATTATTTTGTACAAGACTGAATTGTTTTCCACACTTACAAAGCATTCATTATTCGTTCAACACTGTTACTGTTACACTTATTCTTCCTATTCTTTTCTTGTTAACCCTTTTATGCTCAACATTGTTGTATTTCCTTCTTACTGCACCTGCAAATGAAATATTTATGAGAGTTGGTTGCCATCATTGAGGATTTAGGAAAGGGGAGGAAAGCTAAAGCTTTGTGGGGTTGTTTGGTGTTGGCAGGTTTCTGGAACATTTGTTTGGGAGCGGAATCAAGAGTTTTTGAGGATTATAATGGAGTGGGGGTAGAAGAACTATGGGTAGACTAAGATACTGGGCAGCCCTTTGGGCATCAGTTTCAAATGAGTTTAGGGAATAATCTCTTTTTCATAAGTGAGGGATGTGTTAGCAGCTGTAAAATGAATTTGGTTCAGCTTTAGTTACTTGTAAATCTACTTGAGAGGTCCTAGCTAGTTTTGCTAGATGGTGGATTTCTTATCCACCTTTTTGTAATTCATGTCACTGTTTTAATATAACTTTATCGTTTCTTCTCAGAAAAAGAAAAAGGGTTCTGCATATGATTTTGTTAGATTCTTTCAGGTCTGTCTAGCTTGACAAATTTGAGTTTTAGAAGAAACAGTGCAATTACTGCTCATGGAATAAGTGCGTTTGCTAGTTTGATTAACTTGATGAAGTTGGACTTGGAGAAATGCCCTGGGATCCATGGTGGACTTGTTCATCTACAAGGTAAATGCCTCTAAATGAAGTCATCTGGAAAGTGAATTATTTTCTTTGTTGAAGGTGCTGGTAGAAAGTACAACCATGTCCAAAGGATTGTACTATGTATTATGTAAAGGAGAATAGTTTTCCTATGTTCTTGAATATGATGAGAAAACATTCTCAAAGGAAGCGTGCATTCTTTATTCTACAACACAGTTGGAGCTGGTGCTATTATCGTCTATACAGTTTAGTACCCCTCTATAATATGAGTCGGGCGTCCGTTTGAAGTGATAATGTCTTTAGCTTACACTCAACTAATGTACGTACAAAAATACTGTAAATGATATGTGGCCCAATAAATTAAACACTTGCGCAATATGACAACAATCTACTGGAGGGTGGACTTGTATGAGTGCAATCATATAATGGTAGGCCAAAGGTCCTCAAATGTCTAGTATGAGATGTCTGATAGTGATTATTCACCATAATATGATCCATGATGTCTCCTGTGATGCACGTTGGAAATGAACCATGTACTAAATTATGGATAATGCTTTCACCTCAGCATGCCACCGTTCTCATCACTTTGAATTCAGTATCATCCTTATACATTTCATTTAAATCTTTGTACAGGCTTAACAAAACTAGAGTCTCTTAATATCAAATGGTGCAACTCTATAGACGATGCTGACATGAAACCTCTCTCAGGTAATGAACATATTGGTTTCTTCTTGTTTACAATGAAAAGGAAATGTAGGCCTTAATCTTATATTTTTGGGGTTTGACTTCTATTGAGAAGGTTCTCTGATATGACTTCTTAGCTTCACCCCTTGACACAGATGACAGACTTTGATACCAATCCCTTTCCACTTCCCTCTTCTCTCTCTCCCCCAAAATGTGTTGCTTATGTCTAATAGTTGCATATTGTATTAAGAATTTGTGTCCACCTTGATCCGTCTTTGTTGATAATTTCTTCCCCCACAAGCTGTTCAAGTTCAGTTTCACATCTACATTCCATCTGCAAAATGTGGAAATAGACAGAGCATACCTAAAGTACCAATTCGAAGCAACTTCGACTGGAAGTCAGTCTATTATATTTACATTTGGCAACTCAATTGCATCCATGCCAAATTAGATGCAGAGATCTATCTTTTCACATGATTTTTTTTTAATCCCAGTCTTAAAATTTAAATACATGTTTGTGTGTGCTTTGATTTTTAATGTGAATTAAATTTCTGTTACAGCACATTGTGTGAATTACTTTTTTCATTTGTATTTCAGATCTTACAAATTTGAAATGCTTACAAATCTGCTGCAGTAAGGTTACTGATTTTGGCATTACTTACTTGAAAGGTATTTGCTTTTGTATTTCATTTATCTACAGCTTACATCTTTGTGCTGCAAGGAGAAATCATGTGTAATAAGTTTTTATCCATGGATCTTTTATAGTTTGAAACTATTGTGATTGTGCAGTGTACTCCTTAGGGCTTATCTACTTGCACCCATTTTTAAAAACTTAATGCCTTTTAGTATTTTATCGATATGGGATGCCAGTATTTTGTCTCTGTTAATAAAAAACTTATTCTAGTCTACTTAACCGGACATGAATGTTGTTAGGCGGAAGTTTATTGCTGTTCCTCCATGCAACTGTTTATATCATCTCTATGTCTTACAGGCCTGCACAATCTTTCTCTTTTGAACTTGGAGGGATGCCCAGTTACTGCTGCATGCTTGGACTCGCTTGCAGGTTTGTATATTGAAGTAATTAGACTTCTCTTAGCCATTCTAATCTTTTTCTGGTCGTTGTATGCCGTGCAATCCTTTTCTCATTGATAAGGTTGATAAATTACTATCAATTGATTGTCCACATACATCTTTGTATTAAGTATGTGATTACTTCGTATTTGACAATATCTATGTGATTGTATTATGTGTGTGATCATTTCTATTTTGTCTGGTGATAGTTTACTTTTTGGAAATGCTAATAGAACAAAGAATTAGTTTGGAATTAGTATGTGTCTAGCCAAATTAAATATTAAACTCTTTGAAAAGCTTTCTGCTTTCATTTTAAAGCGTTTCTTGTTCCATAAAGATAGTGTGTGATGAAAATGCACCATTATGCACAGAAAAGATTGGGAATCTGTTTTTGGTTAGGTCTTGAACAATAACTGATGACTTATGGAGTAGCATAGCTGAAAGTTATACGTGTCATCTGCTAAAGCTGAATGTGAAGACTTTTGCCATTTTTTTCCACTGCCTAAGTAGGTACACTTTTGTTCTAGCTTTAATTGGGCCTGATATTTATCTGTGTTGCTTGCTTACCAGCTCTTGATGGCCTGCTATATCTAAATCTGAGCAGATGTGGTCTGACTGATGAAGGATGTGAGAAGTTCTCCCGTAAGTAGTTTTTAAACTGACCCCAATGACTTCTTTTTTCCTTTTCTGTTGAAGTCATGGAATACAGCTCTACGTAGAGGCTGGCTGCGTTGTACTTTTATTTTTTTGTTAGGGGAGCCCTGAGCTTGGATTGTGGCTTGCCTCATACTCTGCAGGATTTGGGAACTTAAAAGTATTAAACTTGGGCTTCAATGACATCACTGATGCTTTTCTGGTGCACTTGAAAGGTGGGTTTTTATTTTATTTTTTAACTCTTGCATTTGTTTGCGTTCAAACCTTTGATTTTTAGGAAAGCTAATGAAAAGGGCTTGAAAACTTTGAGTTTTAACGATAAGGACAAAATAAAGGGTAAAGTGAATAGTACCAGTTTGACTTTTTAGTGTAAAAATGTGGTTTTTCGTTATAGTGAACTGTACCGTGGGCTTTTCGTTAAAACTCCCTTGATTTTTGGACTTTCTTTAGGCATTTTCTTTTTCATCAATAGTAGAGAAAGTTTAGTAATAAAGAAAGCCCTTCTAAATGAATTAGAAATATATGCTTGGATGGAACATACACCATGCAATTTCTTAATTCATTGAGCGAGTTGGAGGTTGGTTCTGTTTTTATATTGACTACATTATCAGATCCCATAATTTCCCTTGTGTAAGTAATATATGCATATCTTTAAATTGTGGTTTTGGCCTTGCTGCAAGTAGGTTTGACAAATTTGGAGAGCTTGAACCTGGATTCATGTAAGATTGGTGATGAAGGGCTGGTTAACTTGACAGGTCAGTATTACAAACATGCATGATACTTATAACTTCTGTTCTTTATGTTTATGTCCTTAACCTGGAATCTTTCCAGAATGTTTGTCTTGCATATTATATTTGCGGAAATGATGAGAGTTACCATACACAGTTGTATTTGTTGTGCTTTTTTCCTCTGTAACTTAACTTCCATTTGTGTTTTGTATCAAGTCTTATGGCATAAATCCATCATAAAGGAATTCATAAATTTCTGGTAAACAAAGATGCCAAAGACCCATCGTAGAGGAATTTGAGTAAAAGCTAAGGATAAGGGCCTGGTACCCTACTTAAAATTTGATTCCAAAAACTCTGATTTTTATAAAAACTCGGGTTGAGCTCCAGTTTTTAATTTCAACAAGATGTTTGGTAAGAAATTTTATAATTACTTTTTAATCTTAAAAGTTTTATCCACACCCTTTGTCCCTCACAGTAACCACTACATCTCTCCTCCATGTCCTCCTAGTCTCCCAGTCATTCTCAGATCATGACTTCGCAGAGAAAAGCTTCACCTCCTTGTAATCTATCAAATCTGAAAGGGAAGCCAACTTTAATTGACTCCGGCGCGCCAGTTTCACCCAATATTTACCCAAAATCTTCAAATTGATACTACCAATCTCAGTAACCAAGACGTCAGGTTTAGAAGCGTCGAAAACTTCATCGAATTGGATTGGGACCTGGCCGGTCTTCCGGACTTGACAGATCAGATAATGCGGGCTTGCTTGGACATTGTCATGTTGGAGTGGATTACACCGATGGTGATGACACTGTGAGCAGCCATGGAAATAGCCGCACGGGACTCGGTTATTTGACGCACAGGATCCAGACAGACACAGCGGCGGCAGCTAAATGAACGGAGTGGGTGTTGGTGTTGGTGTCGATGTCGGATGTACATTAGAGCAGCCCTGGTTGAAGAGTCTATTGAGGACAAAGACTTCAAAAAAACTCTAAACACATAAAAAGTCTCTTCTCAAGAATCAAGCATTGTTTTTTAGTTGTGGATTTCAAAATTTGCTTGCCAAATGCGACTTCAGAAAAAAGTGTTTTTGGTTCTAAAAAACTGACTCCAAAATGAATACCAGATAGACCTTAAAAAGTCTTTTAGTGACATTCTTCCTAGTGAATTCTAGGGTTTGCTAGTTGTTTTCTAGCAAAGGAATATCATTTGATTTTGTTATATCCTGCTGCTCAGAACCTTTCAAAGATTTATGTGAATTTCAAAAGTGATCCCACACGTGCAGTTCTTAGAAAAATTGATGTATCTATTGTGGTTTTCTTTCTTTTAGAAGCTTTTATAAATAAAATTGTCATTTTAAATTCTTCTTAGTGGCTGCTGAATCTACTGTCAATTAAAATTTTCAATAATATCAATCAGTGATTTTTTATTATAACCCATTTTCATAACAGTTGAAAGGATCAGTTTTTCTTATGTGTGAAATCGTATAATTTTTTTGAGTTTTGTGGTTTCTGCTTATATTGTATCTTGGTGGCATGACTTGCAGAGTTGTAATACTTGGGGTCAGAATCACGCTGACTATTTTAAATATTCAATGTGCTGATTTTGAGTAGCTTTATCATTCTTTACCACTTTTCTATTCCTACATAGAATCTGACGAATGCTGGTATTTGTTTACATGCTTTTAGGCCTTCAACATTTGAAAAGTTTGGAGTTGTCAGATACTGTTGTTGGAAGCGGTGGGCTTCACCATCTGTCAGGTTATACGTTTACCTTTCTTTTTGGCCTTGCAACCATGCATAATTTCATTAAATTTTTGCCGCATCAACCCACTCAAAGACACAGGCAGTGAGTTTGTAACAGAGAGTTGTGTATTTTTAGTTGTATTTGGTATTCTAAATTTTGAGAATAAAATTTAAACTGAAAAAAAAAGTCACATCTGTCTTTTTCTTTGGTTTTGAGTAAGTGAATACAATTTAATTTTATAGAGACATTATGATGTCATTAATATATACAGTAAAAGTGTGCATAAGTGTTGCCCCATAGGGTAAAAGTGTGCAAAACTGTGCATGATTTATATTCATTTTTTCCGTATATGGCCATTGAGTGTTTTTTTCCTTTAAATACACACTTTAATCAAAGAAATGCTCTGGATTAGGTGTTTTCTATTGATTTTTAACCCTAGAAAGGAATGGTTTGCAAATTTGGCAATTCTATGAATAAATGGGTGTCCATCTCTGATGCCACCATACAGGAGATGAAAATACTGAAGGATCCACCTCTGTTCTTACTTCTTATTGCTAAAATGGAATTTTTTATCAGCTTTAATTTGTGGTTTTGTTATTCCGTAACATGACGATTGTTTCTTGTAGGTTTGATTAATCTTGAAAGCATAAATCTTTCCTTCACTGTTGTTACTGACAGTGGTTTGAGGAAGCTGTCTGGTCTCTCGTCTCTCAAATCCCTTAATTTGGACACTCGCCAAATTACAGATTCTGGACTGGCAGCTCTTACAAGTAAGCATGGTTAGATGAAAACTGCATTCTGATATTTTGGCCTCCGGACAAAATTTTCAAGTCTTGTCCAACATTACCCAGTAAGCTATCTGATTCTATGAATGCTGCATTTATTTTCTTTTTGGATGCAGGCTTGACTGGATTGACACACCTGGATCTATTTGGAGCTCGAATTACAGACTCTGGAACAACCTATCTGCGAAGTATGTTAACTACTTAACACTGCTGGTTCATTTACATAAATTAGACCACATGTGAGTTATTGATGATAACCGAAACACACACCAACCACTTCTTGGTGCAGTTCTGGATCTGCTGATTCAAAATTAACTTTTTGTAATGTTATCAACAGTTTATATGCAAAGTGGAAAGCCTGTTGTGATGCAGGGTAGTTTAGATTTAGGTGAATCACAATAACATGACCAAGCCTTCACATCGAGCTCACATTTAATTAAAGTTTTGCATCACTTATTCAGAATATGGCATCAGTCACATAGATCTCAAGGTTCTTTTTATTTGAAGTATCACTCGGACTTAACAAGTAAGACTAGATCCCAAAAAACACAAAAATGCCATTATTCTCACAAGCCAAAAGCCTAAAGCTAACTAGCCGATTGATGGGACCAGAGTGATGAGCTTTCCATATCGTCATATCGTATTGGGAACCGTGATATGGATGGTGTTACCCTTATATTCCAGAGTGACGAGTCACCCTAGTTTACTTTCTCATTGTATCTGGAAGTTGTTTCAGTTGAAGTAGCAGGCTTAACATTGCACCCTAGAGTTTGGTAACTGACCTTATTGTATTTTTTGGAATGTTAAAATTTAGATGAGATATACTATTGAATATAATTATAGAGATAACTTAGATTTCTATGTTGTTTGGGGGCATGATAGTTGCATATGTCAGATAAAGTATTTAACTAACATGCTAAATTGTATTGATAATACTTGCAGAACGTGGAAACAATATTGCCTGGTCTTTTAAATATTAATCTTAGAGGCTGTTGGTCATAGTGGAGAGGATTGAGTTCCGAAAACAGTTTGGAGTTTGGTTTTTTACCAGATTCATTCTTTTCCCATTGTATCTTCAATTTGCAGGCTTTAAAGATCTGAAGTCGCTAGAAATATGTGGTGGTGGACTGACGGATGTTGGAATAAAGAATATTAAAGATCTTTCATCCTTGACCCTATTGAATCTATCACAGAACTGCAACCTGACCGATAAAACCTTGGAGTTGATTTCTGGTATGCTTTCAAACTTTGGTTTATAAGAATGATACATATGCTAGCTTTACCTGTTTTATGGGCTATTAAATGGTGGCATGCCGGTGTTTGAGATTGGACCATTTTAGTGAGGCAAACTTTTCAAGCGCTGAGGATATAAATGTATGACAATGTCGGTTAGCATGTGGTCAAAATTCTATTTTCATTTGGTGACCATTGTCGTCTTGGGATATACAGTATTGATTAGCTGACTTTTCAATCTTCGTAGCTACTGGGAATGTCCTTTTGTTTTGCAATTATGACCATGACAATTGCATGCACCCGTTCTTTTTCAACCCTGACGTGCCTTGATGGCCATGAGAAAGGGAGAGAGGGTTGGTTGGAGTACCTTCCAAGTATTAGTAAGGCATACCTGTTTGTTTGTTTAGGAAAAATTGAGGCATGTTATAGTTTCTGTGCATAAGTTTTAAAGTTGGCAGTACCAGAAAGCATATCAAAACGATTCTGAGAGTGCTCATATCCGTAAATCCTTGGTTCAGTATTGATTCTGTGAAGCAATGGGACACTTCAATTTTAATTATGTTGGTTAACGCAATTATTATCCTTTAATTGTCACATTTTTGTATGGGAAATGCAGGGTTGACAGGATTGATCTCTTTAAACGTATCAAATTCTCGTATCACAAATTCTGGACTTAAGCATTTGAAAATGCTGAAGAATTTGAAATCTCTGACATTGGAGTCCTGCAAGGTAACAGCAAACGAAATAAGGAAGCTTCAGATGACTGACCTTCCAAACCTGGTAAACTTCCGCCCTGGAGGTAAATGAAATTTGTAACATTAAGCTTCTGGCAGCATGGACAGACAACTATGTATATAAAAACACTATGGAAGGAAGACATCTGGTAATTGTGTATATGGTTGGACGTGGATGTGGTTTTCCAAATGTCTATAGAACTACGGATTCGGAAATTTGCTCCGTTTTCATGTGAAGCTTTCATCTGACATCGAACTGTCATGGAAGATAATGTGGATAAAGCTTTCTTCCAATGTCTATATTGTTGAGTCTCATCCTATGTTTTTAGTGTATCCAGAACTGTCACCTGTGGTACTGAAAAATTCTTGATGGCTTAGATGCAACAGTACTGTAATGCTGTTTGTGTTCGGTTTTTTATTTTACTGTTCGTTTAGGAAAACATTTGGTAATGGAGAAAATGCTAATGGAGCACATTGTGCAGTCAGGAATTTGTGTGTGCAGGGACCATGTTAATTAAGAATATGTATTGCTAAACTGTGGTTGCGAAGAGTGAAATTTGGTTGTATAGAAAGCGATCATTTGTTAAGACAGACTTGTTTATTTATAAATATTTTTAGTGTAAATTACACATAATTACTTCAACTATTAGGTCATTAACAGTTTCATATCTCGTCTTTAATTTTACGAATTTGTTGCAATGTCATACTTTCCGTCAGTTTGTCTGATAATTTTCTGTTAAATGCTAGCGTGTCTTGAAGTAGGACCCATTCTTTATTAAAAAAAAAAATTTAATTCTCAATAAAATAATTTTTTTTTTAATGGGGGACCCACCTGTCCACCCGTGTCCCACCCGTGCAGATCGACGGAGGGAAGGGGGATCCATGGGTGAGATGGAGGGAGGTGGAGATGGAGGAAGAGAGGCCGACGGTGGGGTGGTGAAGGAAGGTTGGGGGTGTGGTAGAGGGGGCGGGGGAGATGTTGGCGTGGGTGGGGAAGGGGTCAGAGGTTGTAGGGAAGGGATCTGGGTTTTGGGTGGGATAAGGGGGGCGGGGGAAGAAAGAGTGAGGGAAGGGGTGGATCCCCATGCCAAAAAAAATGATTTTATTTTTTTTATTTTTTTAATATTTAATTAATTAATTTTTTAATAGAAAATGGGTCCCGTCACTTGCCACGCTAGCATTTTAACGGAGGAATTGACAAACAACCGAAAGAATGTATGAAATTGTAACAAATTCGTAGATAAGGTATGACATTTAAACTTTTTAAAGACGAGGTATGAAACTGTTAATGACCAATAGTTGAGGTAGTTCTGTATAATTTACCCATATTTTTATAACCAAAGTGATATTGCGGGATGGCCGATTTGAAATCGGGATCTGGGATTGTAAGGGAATGTTTTGAACCCACTGAGCTACACACCATTTGTTTTGTCATATACTAGACATTTTTGCAGACTTGCATTTTATAATCCTTTACGTTGTAACCATGATTTCGGATGGGAGAGTGCTATCCACACAATCATTTTTATTTTTCGCATCCTTCTCAATTTTCGACCGCTGGATCAAATAATTTGAAGAAGATCAATGACCACGAATTAATAAAAGTGTGTTGGAGGTAAAAATGGGTGTGGATTAGGCGAGCTAAATTATACGAGGTCATCGAATATTTGTAGTCCTACTCTTCCTGAAAAGCGGGTTGAAAGAACCGAACTCTTTGGAATTTAGCTATCGAACTGCTTGCCTAGCCTAATTGGGTATTCCTCGCTACACGTTTCATTGTTTGAAGTCACCTTTCTCAACAATTTATTCCTTCTGGTAAAATAGACGGATATGATCGTGGTAGGTAAAATAAATGAGGCAAAATATTTATGTGGTTCGATAAGTATGCCTACGTCCTTGAGGTTGCAGCAGTATTTTGTCTCTCTATTTCTCTCCTACGTACTGACTGCTCGACTCTCTGGTGCTTAGAAGCAACTGGTGTGGTATGGCATGTTACTATCGGATCCAAGTGCAAGCAACTCTAAAAGATTTCGCAGTTTTATGACTTGCTGGAGAATCTTGGTCAACCCTAATTCACTAGTCGGTGTTTTCTTGCGATCCAAGTATTTTCCTAACTCGAATCTTTTTCAGGTCAAGCTTGGCGATGTTCCATGTCCTTTATCTGACGGAGTTTGCTTTGGCATATCAGAAAGCGAAAGTTGTTTTCGTGCTAGTCTGTCCTCCTATACAAAACCCTTCACTTCAACTTCATATTATAAATTTGTTGTAGTTCTGATTGACATTTGTTTTCCTTCTGAGAAATTGCTTGGGTTAGTGCAGGTTAGATGAATTTCTTTCATCAAATAAAATTAAATAATTGCAGCAAAACACACACACACAAACACTGAAACACAAATAAATGAAAAACAGCCACCATGGAAAATGTTATAACGTTGTAGGCAACTCCAGTAGAAATTTGAAACTTTATCAAAAAATCAAATAAGATGCAGCAAAAAATTGCAGAGAGAAATTTGAAAAACAAAAAGCTCTGTTGGTAAGTTAAATGTTAGATTAGCCACTAATGGGGTTCGAACCCACAGAGTCATGCAATAGCACAACACCTTTCCACCACTATGGTAAACAGCCACTTTAGGTAATAAATTTAAGTTTAAAAATATACTAATTCTTTAATTAAAAATAATATGGATGTAGAGAGTAAGTTGGATGTAGAAAGAGATTAGATGGGTTCAAATAAAATTTCTCATTCGGAAACACTCGTTGGAAGGAGACGTACTCTAAATGTAGACAACAGCACTCGCGGCACTCGACTGTGGGGGTCCTTGGTGACAATCTCATCGTTGCCGTCCCGTTGGCGCCATATTTCATCGGTGCTGCGGTTCTGGACTCCCTCCTTCCTATGACTCACTCTTTCATACTCCTGTATGTAGGGCTGCTTGCACAAGCTCATGCATGCTTTGTGGGAACGTACTAGTGCTGCTCGTCGACTTTGGGAGTTGGCTATGCTCGCTCTATGCTCGCTCATTGAGGCACCTAACGCGACAAAAACTTCCGAATAGCCTTTCTTTCGGTTCTATACATCTCACTAAGATGCCGACGGGACATCAAATTAATTCTAATCACCCTTGAGTCGTAAAAAACCAGAAAATAGTAAATTCTTACACCCTAAATCCTTATTCAACAGCACTTGTGCCTGTAAAAATTTATCCTCCGGCATGGAGTCTTGGGTCTGACAAAGCTTGTGTACAAATTGTGACCTTATACTTGTCTTCACTTTGTAAAAACATCCTTCGTGGTGCCTGTAAAAACTGAATTTCCAGCATGGTAATGAAGCGCTCGTAGGAGGGTAAGCATTTTTTATGACGGTGATTCCTGGTACATGTACAAGTTTATGCGCATTCTATGTCGTTTTTTCTCGGTGCACCTTATTCTCTCCCAAACACAGAAAAACATGGATGAAAATTATCACTGATGTCACACAACTTTTATCATAGATTCATAGGCTGCGCCCTATTTTGCACATAGAGAAACTGAAATCTTATTGTCCAAACAATGACTTGCAGGTTATGTCTAACATCCAACTAACGACGGAGGAAAGACAAATGACGAAAGAGACAGCAACGCAATTTGACATAAAAAACCTAGAATTATATTCATGATCTGATCATCTTTGGAAGAAAAGCATACCTAAGAAATGTAAAACTCTTCATTTCCAACGCATAATTTAAATACATTTCACTGCTAATACTCCTGCATTTAACTTACTTGAGATTCTGAACCAACTCGTTAAATCTACATATCTGCACATCATTCCTCGTTTAAATTACACTGCATGAAGAACACAACTGCAATAACGCAAATTGAAAACGTGTTAAGAAAAAAAAAGGCATAAAGTGTCAAATGATTGCTCTAGAAATCAGCGAATAAAAATATTGCTCGTATCGAAAATAAAAACTAGTCAAATGTAAAAGCATACCTGTATTTGGAATAGGCCAGCAAGCAAAGCATGTAAAACAACTTGTGCTCTGCCAGCCACTTGATTATCTCTGCGCTTGATCTGACCCTGCAGCTCCAACTTGATTAGCCGGCGCACTGCTTGCTGACCCATTTTCAACTGGTGGGGCCACACCCCATTTGCCTTCAGATTCAAGGGGCTCAAAGACATGAACAGCACCATCCGATAGTCCTAATGCAAACTGATTTGCTTCTTGTGGATGCGCCGCAATCACGAGGGGCTGCACGTTAGAACTGCAGCACAGGGGAAGCAAAGGGTTGGAATTTTCAACAGCTATCACAAACCTAGTTAGTGTTACCTAACTAGTAACTTTATTGGGAGGGGTTATTTGCACGCCAAAACAGTAATCATGCACTTCTCAAAATGCTAATCTCCCTTCATTCTTTTACAAAGGAGCGCAGGATTGCTTATTCAGAGTGGCAATAAAAAGTCATCAAAGAGGCGCTGCAATTACTACTAGTTATCTGCAGTTTACTATAATTTTGTCACACGTGTAGTTAACGATCGTACACATATTTAGATTGGAAAAGAACGTTTTCTGCTTGGACTGCATGCAGAGATCATCACTCCAATGTACAATTTTTTTTATAAGCCGTGAAGGCAAGTATAAGTGAATTATAAATCCTATTCTATTAGGCCATAAGCATCAAATGTTGGGTTTTTAAGGAAGAAGTAGCTAAAATTGCCAACTTTTTAAAAAAAAATTACGTATTCGTTATAAGTAAAAGTTCTAGCTATACCACTAGATTACGTTATAGCATAAATCAGACAGGTGCATCCTTATTCTTATCACATGGATCAGGACTTATAGCGCATTAAGAATCTTGTTAAATTGTTTAGTTTATGACCATCTCTCAAATTATAGTGCATATAACATGTATACACTGAAGGTTCAGCTGATTAAGATTATTAGGTTTTAGATCATACTGCCATGACGGTCAAGGATGACAACAGCTTCCTATGGACAGCAATGAAAAAGAAGATCTATGTCCATCCAATGTAAGTATACTCAACTTGCTTGGTCTCTCATGAGGCTGGGCACATAACCCAGAATTCAAAGTGTAACTTAAAACCTAACACGAAGACTCTGTTTAAACTGTCACTCAAAATAAAAATCAAACATATTCCGGACTTGAAAGAGATAATGAACAAGTACAATCCAAATTTAAACTTGAAATGCATCATTGAAATGAAGGAGGAATTACCTGACATTAGCAGGAAGATAAGCAGAAGGATTAATACGACACCGTAGTCTGAGATTTGCAGCACTAAACACACAAACGGTTGCATCTAAAAAGCTGGCATATACAAGCTGGCTATCGCATGAGAATGTTGCATGAGAGATTGGTGCAGCAGAATCACGTGGGACCCACTAAAACCAGGGAGAAAATTTTTAATTTAAACAAACAATTATTAGGGAGGCGATAAATCTTCACAACAATGCTCCTATACACAAATCTACCTGCTTGACAATTTCTAGTTTTGTTGTTTCATATATGGCAAGTTGAGTCTCGTGAACAACCAAGAACTGTTGCTGATCGTGATGAAACTGTACACGCGTGTCTGATAGGGAAGCTGTCGTTCTTCCAGCTGGAAGCTGCAAGAATCTGGACTTCAGCTTCTCCCATCCATCAGAGCTCCATACGCAAAGCTGAAGAAAGGAGTGGAAAAAAAAAAAAAGAATACCCCAACGAACATTAGTGATTTCAGTATTTTTTTCACGAGGACAATTACATTTACAGAAATGCTTGTGTTGCGCGATTCCAAATTTAACAATTGAATTAATTCTTCAAAGAGAAAAATAATTCCAAATTTGACAATTGAATTAATTCTTTAAAGAGAAAAGTTGCGAGTCGCTGGAAAAAGTTTGAAAAGGTAAAATGAATGCATGTTGGATCAGAAACTAGAACACTGTTATTCTCTAAGATATGAGTTGTAATTAAAGGCCATAAATTTGCAAGTAAAATACACAAACAGTTGTTTTTTCAATGCCTCTAGTAATTTTCTTACTTCAGTTAGAGCATACTTGTCGAGGAAAGGTATTTGGGAGTCAGATTCAGTTTCAGTGTACCAGGGAGGACAACTAAATATGGAATATTAATTCATGACACCAAAGTTGATGAGTTCTAATACCTGTGCATCAGCTCCTGATGAAACTAGCACATTCAGTACATGAGAAAATGCCAGGCCAGTTATCCTTTTAGAGTGACCTTTAAGCTTGCTCTTAACCTGCATCAAGAAAATTACAACAAATTAATAACCATCTCAAACAGTAAGTTTTAAGACAAATTGCATACGCATGTCATTGTACCTCATCTACGCGGACATTATATATCTGAATTGTAGAATCATCCATTCCAATAGCTATAATATTGTTATCTTGAGGATGGAAAGCAAGAAATGTTGCGGCAGGTGGTGGAGGCATGAAAGTTGTCATTGTCTGCACTCGCCAACAAGTTGTGATTAGCCAGATGAAAAATGGAACGAGGGAAAAAAGATGGCTATCTATTACGTGTTACCTTAAATGTCATCATATTGAACAGGGAAATCTTTCCACCAGATGCTGACATTACATAAGAATCATTCTTGGACAAAGCGAAGCAAGGAACAGCTTCTTCAGGACTTGTGTCAGTAATATCATTGGTCATTAAAATGCCACTTGTGGGTTGCCACAGTTGAGGTGAAACACTAGCAGTTGCCTGCAGGGTATAAAAATTGTTTTGCCATTATGAGACTCGCCTATCAAATTTATGATGAAAGAACTACAAATGATTGATGGAAACTACTACTAAGCATTTACACACCTTGCTAGTAGAGTTACGCTCACTCCTCTGCCATTTCCATAACAAATGGATGGCGTTTGATGCTAATGCCAAAATTGCACTTCCTGAGTTGGTATAGATTAACCTCGAAATCTGTAAAAATCAAGGATTCATCACATTGATACGGCACCAAGAAAGAAATTATCTCTTAGTTCACTCAAAATATACCAGGTAAAAATGCAACGAATCAAACTATTTGGAACAACCTGTAATTAATATAGGTAATGGAAAGCATTCATGTCATATTGAATGATAAAGAGAGATTAACAAAAAGCCATATGTAAGTTATAACTCAGTTGTTGCTGCTGCATAAGTTGTCTATTTCAATTTCTATTTTTGAAGAATGAAATCATGTGAAGCACCATTCTGAAAACAAAATATTATTTGTTTCATATAAAAACTACTATGAACGGAAATAATCACTCATTTCGAGAAGCAGGGTCAGGGCCAAGAAAAAGGTCATAATATTTTTGTTGATGAACACATACATTAACTTGTACCATTTAGTAAATGCTCCAAGACCACAACATACAGATTTATACCGTAAGTTGTAGAACACAAGGAAGTATTTATAAAGTACCATGAGAAGGATTAACCAGACCAGGAACAAACAAATCCATCAATAGACATTAATTTTCCAAGAATCCAGGCAATTAGCAATATCATACCTTGGTTACTCTCATGTTTTCAGGTAGCCTCAAGGAACGGCATTGGGATGGTTCACTGATTTCAGTGAGCTTCCAAATCTTTGATTTGTCATTGGATTCTTCAGCTATTCTAGGTTTCACATCCCCCAAGTTCCGAGCATCCCCATTCTGGTATAAATATGTTTGAATAATTAAAAGAATCATAACTGTAGGTAATTTTAAACTCTAACTTACATATAATAAAAGAAGTCCGACTTAAGAACAACAAATGACCATGAGAGAGTAATTGCAGATCAAAATGCAGTTAGAAACAAGCAAAATAATGACAGTCCAATCAACGCAAAAAAAAAATAAGGATATACAACGAACCATTCCAGAAAGAGCAGCTGCAGCTGCACTTCGTTCAGCCAGTCCAGCACTGCTAGCCGCTGCCGCAGCAGCAGCAGCAACTTGAATTGGGGTTATTGCAGGCTGAAAGAGGTTGAGTGTTAGGCATGCTTAAGTTAATAAAGGATAAGCTTAATTAAATGTAGGTAGGCAAAATTAATTAAAATACCTTCATCACAACTTCAGAGGTCCTCGACGCCTCGTAAGAAAGATGATTCTCAAATGTTCGCAACAACCGCATTCCATCTGCATTTGCCAAAATCTTAATCCCATTCTCGTTGGCAGAAACAGCCAAGAGAGTGCCATCCTTGTTAAAGCGGATACGAGGGCTTCCCTAGGAATTAGGAAGAGTAAAGATGAGCAGCTGGTATTTTAGATTCTATTAGTTTAATTTACTTAAAGGGAATGAACCTACTGGGAGGCCTCCATCAGCATCAACAGTTGTCATAAGTTGAGTGTTGTCCATGTCCCAAAATTTAATTGAAAAATCATCACCAGCAGCCAAAAACCGGTTTTTAGTAGTATCAAATTGCACAACACCTAAAGAACGCTTGCGAAAGCCATGATAGGTCCTCTTCACAGCGCCTTCACTTTCATTCCATTCAACAATATGTGACTCACCATCTTTACTTGTCCCACATGAAAATAGCCTGCAACCCACCGCCAAAGAAAAACAACAAAAGGAAATAAATAACCATATAGTTTGCCCATCCAGCAAAAGGAAAAAAGAAACTCTGAGCTAAGTAAACTAACCTTGTACCATCAGCACTATAAGCCATGGTTGTGCACCAGCGACCAGGAGCATCATAATCAACTCGAGATCCCAAATTGTCATACAACCAAGCCTTTATCTTTCCATCCAGTGCTGTTGAAAAGATAAACTGAAGCATAGCAGCAAACAGTGAGTATCAAAGGACAAGGACAAACAGGCACCAGAGACAGAAACACAAGGTGTAATTAGTAAGAATGAAAAAACAAAATAAAATACCACAACACCTGAATGTTTTCCTTATAATGTGGGCAGACAGAATAAACTGGAGCTTCGTGACCTTCAAAAGTATATTGTTTTGCACCGGTTGCAGCATCCCACACCTGAATTTATGAAGGAATTCAGCAAGAAACAGAAAACGCTCTTCCAATGAGACAAGCAAACATGTTAGACAACGAACGAACCTTGATGGTCTTGTCATCCCCACAGGTAATCACACAAAGCTGCTTATTGGGATGGGAGAAAGCTAGATCATTTACTCCACCAACATGTGCATCAATCTATGACAGTAATTCCAGAGTAACCATTAGTACAGAAAACTCATAGATAACAAAACAAAAGTGGAAAAAATTGAAACAGCATCTTCAGTATATACCTCTAGGTGTTGTCGTACGTCATCACCCCCATGATATGAATATATTTGAACAATATGCCTTGAGTAAGCAACACCTGTAATTGGATTGTAAATGATACAATAATTAGGATCTAATTCAGTCCTTAAATAATTATAAAGCCATAAAACATTTGCCACAGTTACTTCAGTATGCTCAAGCTTACCAAATAAAGCACCATCAGGGCTCCAAATCACACGGTTAACAGACACACCAGGTTCCTTAACTAGAGCAGCCTGAATTTCACGAAGAGAAATTTACTTTTCAGTCAACCAACTCATACATTTACAAAGAATACAGTGCACACAATTTTTTTTGTCATATATGAACCAGTATAGAAAGGGAAAGACCTGCAAGGGCATTGAGCATGAACTAAGATCCCATACTTTGAAGTTCCTTAAAACTAGTCGCTCCCTAGATCCAACTTCCCACAGCCCAATGTCCCCCACATTGGTACCAACTGAAGCATCACATAGAAAACAATCAACAGTCAATTATGAGTACCAAGACTAGAAGGGAAAACCCCAATTAGCAAACATAGCTGTAGAGCCCGAAGGTGTACAAACAAATATAAGTAGCTACTTAGGAAATACAAACCAAGAAGCAAAGTCTGCTGTGAAGGATGAAAATCCATGCTCATGGGTGATGAACCCTGATTCAAAGTCCGTGTGACATTCTTAGGCAAGTCCTCAGGTGCATTCAAAGCTTGACCATGTCCGTGCCCTTGAAATGTTACTGGCAACATGTTAACAGGGAGATTAACCTGCACGAAAGAACAAATTGTCAAATACAAATAAAAGCTAAATGAGGACAAATATAGAGATCATCATTCAAAAGTTGATCTTCACAAGTATGTACATACTTCAGTCGAAAGCCCCATCGGCCTTGTTCTTTTAGAAACATGATCAGAATCCCCAGACGGGTACTCCACAGAAGGATTAGTTGGAGGAGTCCTTGGATGTTTCAAGGCAGCTATACAAGGTAATGAAACACCATTATCAAAATCCATCTTATCAGGATCATGAAGCACCACAATCAAAAACTATATTGATCCCGAAACACCACAATCAAGAACCATCTTATCGGGATCATGATAAATGAAAACTAAGAGATTGAGTATTAACAAATGCATTACCTGTTATTGATGGACCACCAAGACCAATACCTCCTCCTTCAGAAACTGCTGGATGAGTAACTGTGGAAGGATTAGACATCCAACCTGCAAGGGGAATTGGAACCGGGGCTGGTGTAGGTTGAAAAGGCTGAAAATGCAAAAGCCAAGCACATCAACAAAAAGTTAATAACAACAAAGTGTCTACTTCATTAGCGTATGAACAGTTAAAGCTAGATTACTTACCCCATGTGCACCTAGCGGAGGAAACCCTCCAGCTTTGGGCAAGGACCCAAGCAGTGGGTTGTTTGCAGGCGATGGTGCCCTTGCACCGTTCGGTTGTCCACATGAGTGATCCACAAAAAGTGTTTTTATATCAGGATTTGGCCTTGGATTCTTACAAAGTTGATGCTGCCAATTTAAGCTTGAATTTACATAAGGAAAATTAGTTCTCTCTCAAAAGAACCAGAAAGGCCATAATTTGCACAAACAATAGTTACTGGTGTGTGGAAACTTCTGACACCGTTCATCAACAAAAAAAAAAAAAAAATCCTGACACCAGACGCTGGAATCAAGCAGTGATGTACGACTGTCACCAGGCCCCTTTGCTATGTAGTAACGAACCATATGCTAAATTAAGATTCAGGCACATTTTTAGGCATTGCAAGAATACTAATGACTTCTTTTTGTTTCCACAGAATTCAAGCCATAACCAACTTTTTGATTGGCCACATAGACAACGTACTTAAACAATAAACTCATTAGTTACTGCTATCAACTTGATGAAATTCTCATCCTGAATGCAACGAGAGACAAAAGCACTCATTCCATACGTGGAAACAATATCAAAGTCCCAATGAAGTGCACAGCTAATCTTATATAACTGAAGGTTGTGGTTTCTGAGTAATTACCTTTGGTTAATGAGAGTCCGTAGCCTCGAATTCTTAAGGTTTGGAAACTGCAATTTATCACGGAACAAGGGATTCGCTTCAATCAGTTTCTTAAGTTCAACCAACATGATTGCCCTGGCAGACTTTGTATCTCCATACTTGGATAGTTGTTCATTCTCCCTATATAATGCAAGCGACCATTTTTCAGTAAATTTGGTATAACTGTTTTCTATAAAGGCCTTATTCATATAACGGAATTCTCATACCTAAAGTTCTCCAATGTCAAGAGCTGAGTGATTTCCTTGAAAAGTTCTTCATTGAATGTGGCAAAAACCTTTAAATCCTTAACTAGAATATCCACGGCTTTGGACCGATCATGCCTGCAAAGTCCAGTCACATTACATGCAATTCAACCATATAATTCCTCAATACCGATCATAAAATTCAACCCGCGAAAGTTACCAACGAAATGACATCAAAACATTGTAAGCTTACTTGTCCAGTGCCTCGAGATACTTCTGCTTCCTTATCTCGAAAAAGATTTTCATGGAGTAGCGGTTATCGTCCACTTTAGTGAACCCGGAGAGGTACTTCTCAACTTCATCCCAATTGCCATTATGCACCTCATCCTCAAAATACTTCATGTTGAAGAAAAACCCAGATTCCTGCTCTAGCCTATTTAGTATTTACATCACAAAAGCAATTAATGACGCAGTATATCAGTACATCATCAGCAATTACTGCCAACAAAAAATACATTAATTAAAAAAATTAATTTAAAATTACAGAAGTCAGCCCTACTTGTGAACAGTCTCTTTGAATTTTTCCTCATCGAGAAACTGCAAGATCAGGAACACAAGCTCCCTACTCAGAGAAGACATCTTGACCGCCCCCTCTTTGATTCCAGAACCAGAAATATCACCAACAATATAACTAGATCTGCAAAAATAGAAAATATTATTAAGAAAAACCATATACATATGAAAGGGGTCAACTTAGACAGCTCAAAAATCAAAATAAATTACAAAATAAAATAAAAAATTGAAAAGGAACATACCCAGAACCAGATCACAAAGCTAAAACACCAGTTTTGCCAATAATTTCACATATTTTCACTGATGTTTGAAGTAAAATATAGGGAAAAAAAAGGACAATTTTTTTTAACTTTTTTAGGGATCAAAGAGGCAAAGAAAGCAGCTTTCTTAAGACCCATGTGAGAATCGAAGATGCAAAAGAAAAAGGTTTCCAAAATTCGAAAACCCCCAAAAAATTAACAACCCAAAAGAAAAAATAAATAAAAATAAAAACTTCAAGAGAAAAATTAAAAGTTAGAGATTTCAGGAGAGAGAAACTCGCACCTTGAGAAAACCAAATCAGAACAAACAGCCACACATCCAGAAGAGGAAGAGAGAGAGAGAGAGAGACAGAGACAGAGCTCGGAGAAAGCTTTCTCTCTCCAGAAACTTATAGCAAACTCTCCTTCTCTCTCTCCAGAAAATTTTTGTATTTATATTTTTCAGAGAGAAAAGAGGACATTGAACTTGCGGAAATGGGTGATTTTATAGGGGGCGAGGCGACATGTAAACAGGATGATAAGTCAGTCCACTTATCATCCATCCTCGACTTATGAAGCAATAGGTTATCGTAGCCTGTGATAGGGACCTATGATCTGCACTATGGCTTATGCGTAGGTGCGAATGGAGGTGGGCCCCACTTGGCCGGCTACGTTTGTCGAGCCCATCGGAGCGGAATCTGTAGCTGACACTGTCCTTCAGCTGAAGAGTTGAACAAGACCTAGAGCAGTTATCCCGTACATCGCAGACAATTGTGCACCCGTACCTCATGCCGCTGGATGTATCAAACAAGATTGACATTGATATTTCTGAAAAGATAAACGGCTGAAATTAACCTGATGCTAACCTGAAAAGGATGGGAACTGAACTTGGAAAGCGAAATTCACCACCCTCAGATCCCCTTAACAAACGACAAGCTCCCTTGGACTGTTCCACAAAAGTTCGACCCCAGATTTTGTGAAATATTACGAAGCATACCACTGGGACACTTAGTACATTGTGTATCACGTGATACGGTGAGACAGGTGATGATTGCGATATGATATTTTAAAAGTCACGAAGTGGTTTTCGTTTACTGGCTCGCGATATGAGGTTTGAGATTTATTATGCCAATTATTCATTTAAATTACTTGGGAAGGGATTTATTTGAGGATATTGGATATCTAGTTAAAGCTGTGGTTATCGAGTCGTAACGTGGGGTTTTGTGACTTTTGGCCATCTCATCGGTTCCGGAAGTACCAGGACCACTGACACAAATTGGGTTCTATTTAGAAAAATATAGTACGAGGCCGACTAATTATTTAAAATAAGTTTTATAAATTATATGATGTGGTAAGACTAACTTCAATCATAGGCTAAAAGCCAAATTATCTCCCAAATTTTCTCCCCAAACCCACTCCAACTCAAGAGGAAAATTGGGGCTAAATGCTAAATGCTAAACCAAGGCCAAATTCCCTCCAAAATTTAGCCCAGAAATCAGAGTGGACTCTACCCAATATTTATCGGAATTTAAATTTTTTTAGATTAAAATGTTCATAAAATTAATTTACGATAGTCTACATATTTATTTTTTTTTTAAATTTAATTTAACAAAAAAAATAGCCTAAGTTCATTCTTTAATAATCCGGGGCTAAAATTTTAGGTTAGAGCGATTAGAGCAGAAAAGTTGTTTCTAGGCTAAAAACTAAATTTTCAAGATAAAATATTTGACTTTTAGCCCAACCATTGAAGATGGTCTAATAGATAGTTTTTTTATTATTTATTTATTAATTAACGTGCTCAGTTTTTTTGTAATACATCACATAATTTATAATTAGTCTAAAAAATTGACCCACCAAGCATTATTCTTTAGGAAATGTTAATGAAGAATGATAGCTACCTTCCCAAATTTTCAACCCAATGGACCAAAAATTCTAGCTAATTGGGTTATCCTTTAGGGGGCAGAAGAAAACTATGGAGAATATATTATAATAGTCAGTTTTGTACGGCATTAAAAGCTTTGTGTTTAGTGTTGATGAGTGGAGACGTCAAATGGGTGGGTAAGTGGGGAAGGTAGATAACATTCTGTCAATTTGCTAACATATGCAATGCTATTGTGGCTTTCTCAATTCCTTAAATTTATTTATTTTTAAGTTAAAAATTCACATATCGACAAAGTAATAATACACCTCTCACACTCTCATAACACTTCAATGGTATATGCAATTGAGCAGACACACTCGTTTTGATGAGTCATTGAAGCGAAAAGTAGTGTCAATGTTGTAGGCAATTGAGTAGGCAAATTTGTTTTTCATACTCTTCAAAGTAGGTAATATTGCCTACTTCAACATGAATAGGGGTGATGCTATTTACATACCTTTGTTTATCTCTTGCACACCCTTGTTCATTTTTGTCCGTATATCTTTTTCAATTCATTTGATCCGACGGCTAAAAATTGAGAATGGTGTGAGAAAAATAAAAACGAATGTGTGGATAGCACCACCCATAAACAAATTAGGCCCCATTTTGTTTTATAATAAAATATTTCATGTGGAGGAAAACGACAAAATGAAATATAAAAGTAAGGTTAAAGATGAGTAAAAAAAAAAATTAATAAAGTACAATTTTGAAATTAAAAGGCACACCGTATACATATGAAATCACTAAAATATAATGAGAAATGGCTTCAACACACCGTTGCAATAAAGTATGACCAATTGCAGAGTAATGAGCACACTCAAACACTTCGTCGAAAGTCGAGCTCCACGAAGAACCATAAGATTACACAAAATAATATAATCGCTAAATCTCATATTTCACAGATATCGTCTGGGAACAAAAACTCTCAAATCATACTGGGACAGGAAATATGATACCCATGTGTCTAACTGCATTACCTAACCACAACCATGACCCCAAAGCATCGAGTTGAAAATGAAATCCAACACACCAACTTGAAAACTAAAATGAAAGAACTCTTCTAAAGGAAAATTTTAGAGCCAGTAAATTCCTAGTGAGTTTCTAGCTCTTATTTAAAAAATAAAAAACCCAAAGGGCGTCATAGTGTGTCGTATTGGCTAAACTCATAATTTTATACTGGCTAAATTTGAACTCAACGGAATCCGATCCACACCCATATCAAATACTATAGTTAGAGCCCAAATCTTATGTTGGTTGCGTGCATGGAGAAATTTTTATTGTGATCAGAATACGAATAGTACATTATGTGTTTTTTTTTATAAGGGGGTGGAAAATTTTATTTTTTAATTTATTAATTTTTTTAACACGCGTATCCCACCATTTGTATAATAACACCACCTGTATTTCTATTACACTAAAAAATCTCTCTCATGCATGGGCCAAATGACGACTACAATGATTCCTAGAGACAAGCTCAAAGGCAAGAGCCGACAACGAAGGATTTTTCCTTGTTATTCTTCTCTCCAGACCGCTAGGAATTTTTACTTTGTAACTTTGGATCCTGAAAGTAAAACGATCATGTGACAATTGATGAAGCATATGCTATTAGGACTTGAATCTAGGTATTTTTATCCTCATATAAATGGAAGATTTTAGGTCGACGAATATGATTTGAGGAGATTATTGTGTGTATTTCTTCATACTAACTACATGTCAACTATGCATGACAACAATTGGAATATTAACTCCAACTACAAAAGAGAATTTATTTTTCCTAAAAAATGTACATGTGACAAATTTCTATGAGTTGATACTATTGCAGAAAGTTGGATTTCATTTAATCATATTAAATTAATCCATATGACCGTGGTTAATCGGCGTTCTTGTGTCCATGTAAAAATAAATTAAGAACACATGCATAAACTTTATATGAAATTCAGAATTCCAACTTTTAGATTTCATATGCGGACGAATTCAATGTTGTTGAGCCTCCCATGTGTAGCTACTATGATCTAGTGTTTTTTTCTTTACTTGTAATGTAGATGTTTCAATTTCAATCACTAATGTCCCAATATCGTTGTACGAAAGAAAAAAAAAAAGTATGCAAACATATTAATAATAAAACAATTTTTTTCTTAACAAAAGACATACTAGGGCCCTTAATTTGGCGTTTGCTCTAAGCCTCAAAAATCAATAAACCGACTTTGATCTTGTATACAAATATACAAATGAATTGTATATAATTATTTATATGTCTATCTTGTGGTGTACAATTACAACACATGATTGTCTATTATTACGTGACACATGATAAAGGATTAACATATGATTGTGTGCAAAGAGGCATCCATCCGGCAAGGAAATGAAAAACCTAATGAAACCCTAGAAATATTGATGCCAAAAGAGCCCTATCTACGAGTAGTGGCTTTCACGTAGCCTATCTGACAAGGGTTTGGCGACATGTCACTTTCCCCTAGTGGGATGCATATTTTATACAGAAAACTAGCAACGGTTGTCAAGCCAGTTGGATCACCAGATCCCAATTTCATCAAAATATCAGGAGAAAATGAGAAACGATTTATTCACATTGGTTCCTTCATCCATGATCTCTTCTCTGTCTTGTGCCTTCCTCTTTCCTTTAGGAAGTAAGATTCTCTTTCTTTCTTTTTTTCTCTTTTTCCTTTCTTTTCTATTTGAACAGCTACGGTTAAATCACGTTAACATCTTTTATTAATTTTTTATAACAAAAAAAAGATAAAATAAAAGAATGTAAGATAAGGAATAAAAAAGGATAAAAAGAGAACGAGAGAAAATCTTATCTTTTTTTTTAGAGGTCAGTAGTCAGTGACAGTAGCCCCAGTGGGCCCCCTTTTATGGGGAAAGTGATGTTCCTCCTCCACTCTATCAATGACTTTTTCAATCCAACACACAGACTAGTGATCAGAAGACGAATTTTAGATTTGTATTTAACATGGTATTTTTTGAATTTGATTTTTTTACATTAGTAAATCATACAATAATGATTTGAAAGAGATTAAAATACATCTGTAAATGTTTTTTACCTTTAAAAAAATAAATTAACGTAACGAAACCATCAACCCGTCTTTTACTGAAAAAGATGGAAGAAATGACTTTTTCAAACTTTTTTTTCTTCTTCTTTTAATCTTATTTTTTTCATTAGTTAGTTGGATAATGACTACTCTCCTTTAAGCCTCAGGTCACATGCCCAGGAAGGTTTATTAAAAGAATAATAAAATATTACCATGTTTTGCCAAAAGTAAAAGAATATTAGGTTTTCTTGTGCGTTATGCAGAGACATATGCGAACGTAAACCCTAAGGAGGTAGAAGTGTCATAATCCACCACAGGTCACGTTATTGACTATGGAGCATCATATTCCTTCCCTCTTTCCCCAAATGAAAAATGTCAAAAGAAACCACATTGTGCAACATTTTTATTAGAAAGTGAATCAGACCTACTTGTAATGGTAGCTCTAATTATTTCTATTAATGGCTTGTTTACTAATCCGTAATCAAAATGAGAGGAATTGAATTGAGGAAGA